GGGGCTCGTCCGGGAAGCAGATTTTTTAGTAAGGGTTAACACCCTGATTCCAGTATTTGTGCTAAGCTAAGCCCCTGTCCTCTACATTCTCTTTACCTGCTGAACTGCTGGTGGGTCAGGACCAGACCCTCCAATCTGATGGGGAAGCACACGTCACAGCTGGCCACCATGTTCTGGATCTTAAAGTCCAGGAAGCGGGCGGGGAAGCCCAGTTTCTGGACCACCCGAGCATACTTCCTAGCTGCTAGTCGGGAGTGCTCCTCACTGTGCGCGCGCGCGCGCACACACACACACACACACACACACACACACACACACACACACACACAGTAAATATACAGGTAAACAGACAGGTGAGCAGACAGACAGGTGAGCAGACAGACCTCTTGGCTCCTGTACAGACCATCTTCCCGGAGCTGAAGATCAGCGCGGTAGTTCGGGGCTCTCTGATCCTCATGATGACAGCCGCAAAACGCTGAAACAAAACAACAACAACCATCAGTCCATGTTTACTGTGTGCTAAAGCTAACGCTAAGCTATCCACAGCTGAATGCTAAATCTAAGCTAAACATAACTAAAGGCCAATAAACATATAACAGAAAGAACACTACAATACCCATGAGCCTCGGCTGAACCTGAAGTACTGAGAGAGAGACAGTACCTTTGGGTTGTACTCTGCATTTCTGGCCTGGAGGGCGATAAACTTCAGATCCAGAGGACAACCCAGATTCACTGTGGAGACGATGTTCCTGTGGACGGACGGACGGACGGACGGACACACACACACACACACAGCAGCCTTTAAACACAACACTGTTCAAGCAGTCAAGTGGGAAACCTGGTATGTTGGATTTTCACACAGCACCGGAAGTACTACCGGTACTATAGATGAAGCACTAATACTACAGATGAAGCACTAATGTCAGACTGAAATCCTGTGATGATCAAATATGACCACTAGTTGGCTCTGTTTACGGGGTTTGATGTGATGGGGATAATGTGACGGGAGAAGAAGAGTAGCGAGAGAGAGTGATTTGACTTGGTGCGGTTCCGTGGAAGCTTGACTAAAGTTATGAGGAAAACCCCAAACAGTTGGACTGATTAATTCCCTATCATACACCCACAATGCTTACACTAATACTACAGATGAAGCGCCAGTACTACAGATGAAGCACCAATACTACAGATGAAGCAGTAGTACTACAGATGAAGTACTGGTACGACAGATGAAGTACCGGATGAAGCGCCAGTACTACAGATGAAGCACCGGTACTACAGATGAAGCACTAATACTACAGATGAAGCACCAATACTACAGATGAAGCCCCGGTACTACAGATGAAGCCCCGGTACTACAGATGAAGCACCAATACTACAGATGAAGCACTAATACAACAGATGAAGCCCCGGTACTACAGATGAAGCACCAATACTACAGATGAAGCACCAATACTACAGATGAAGCACCAATACTACAGATGAAGCACCAGTACTACAGATGAAGCACCAATACTACAGATGAAGCACCAGTACTCCAGATGAAGTACCAGTACTCCAGATGAAGTACCAGTACTCCAGATGAAGTACCAGTACTCCAGATGAAGTACCAGTACTCCAGATGAAGCAGTAGTACTACAGATGAAGCAGTAGTACTACAGATGAAGTACTAGTACTACATATGAAGCACCGGTACTACAGATGAAGTACTGGTACTACAGATGAAGCAGTGGTACTACAGATGAAGTACCGGAGAAAGTACTGGTACTACATTACATTACAGTCATTTCGCAGACGCTTTTATCCAAAACGACTTACAATTCAGATTCTATCACATTCACAGACCGCAGGCTCAGCTACGGGAGACATTTTGGGGTTAAGTGTCTTGCTCAAGGACACATCGACATGCGACTAGCGGAGCTGGGGATCGAACCACCGATCGAAGGATGGCCCTGCTCTCCACTTAGCCACAGTCACCATACTACAAATGAAGCACCGGTACTACAGATGAAGCACCGGTACTACAGATGAAGCAGTAACTTACTGTAACTGGGGGATGATTCCTGACCTCTCAGTCACAGGTGTCATGGGGGTCATGGGGGTCATAGGAGTCATGGGACAGAAGGAGGAGACACCCGATCCCGACATGGACGGCCCCTGCTGGGGGTCTGCTGCTGCTGTGGAACCCTGGGAGTTGTAGTCCGGATAGATGCCGCTGTCCTGAGAAACGTCCAGAGCGACAGTCTGACTGTCAGCTGAAAGCAAAGCACAGAGGTGATCATGTGACCTCCCAGAGGCCACGCCCCTCCTCCAGTCAGCCTACCTGTTGCATCATCAGTGATGTCATACCTGTTTTGTCGTGGTGACCCGGCTCATCCTGCGTACTGAGTTCATCAGGTAGGAAGCTGAGGTCTAGCTCCTCCCCCACCGGTCTGCTCGGCCCCGCCTTCGAATGGGCGGGGCTCTGGAGGTCCAGCTCCTCGCCCAGAAGAAAGCCGGAGTCCTGCAGTAAAAATAAATAAAACAACCACTTCTGTATTGAGAGGATGTTTCATTTATTAGTTATCACCATCATCAACCTTCTTCTGTATCAAGGGATTAATATTACTGATTCTAATGATTATTATAATAATGATAATCTATATCTCTCACCATTAAACTGTTCACTCTTCATTAGAAAGCTGCCTTAAAGGGCTCATTGTGGATTCTATCAGTTTATTGATCTTCTTCTATTGATCTAAATGTTTATTTTTGGATATATTGACACAAACACAAGATGAACCTCATGAAGCTGCTTATTATTTTTATTTCAGACCAGAAACATTAAAATAACACATTTTAGTTTCCCTCCATCTCAACATTTAGCTCCGCCTCCTTTCAGTTTTAAGTTTTATCTTTTACTCACATTTGCAATAGAGTCATCAAAGTAACGTTCCAACGCCGACTCGTCCATGAGTGAAGCACCTTCAGACCTGATCCAGGACCTGATCCAGACTGAGAGCTCACAGCTGCATCCAATCGTGAACTCATCAACACACACAGACTTCAGCTGGAGGTGTTCACTTCATCTGAAGAACTTCTTTAACTTCATTCAAGCTTCACAGCGTCAAACAGAACTAGAGTCAAAAATTAAACACAGACGACAAAACATTATTACAACAACAAACAATAAAATATTAGATATAAATCATTCAGAAGAGAAAATAAGCTGTATGTTGGCTCCTTTATATCCTGTTGTCTAGTTTAAAGAACACTTCATCCTTCAGTTTATCACCAACATTCAGCTTTTTATTAATATTATTTAAATTATTATCAGAATCAGAACCATTTATTGCCAATGTCTGTTTCACATACAAGGAATTTGTCATGGCAGGAGGTGCATAACATTAAACAATCACATTAAACACAGTGCAAAAAAATTGAAACATATTAAAATTTACAATAGAATATAAAATAATATAAAATAAAGTGCACAGACAAACAGATAACAGGACTGTAAACAAGTGTAGTGTAAAAGTGTTAAGTGTATTTAAATATGAAGGGATGTGCAGGGGAGTGACCGGTAGGAGGTTGTCCTGGGGATGACATAGTCAGTCGGGGTCCCGGGCTCTGTTAATGAGACCGGGACCCCGACAGGAAGAAACTGTTGATGTGTAGTCCTGATGGAGGTCTTGTCCTGATGGAGGTCTTAGTCCTGATGGAGCGCGACCTGAAGCAGAAGCTCAGGGAGTGCAAGGACTCCTACAGGAGGAAGCTGGAGGCCAAACTCCAGCAGAACAACGTGAAGGAGGTGTGGACGGGGATGAAGCAGATTACTGGCTTCAAGGTTGGAGGCAGACAACCAGGGGGCTCCCTGGAGAGGGCCAACGAGCTAAACTCTTTCTTCAATAGGTTTAGCTCACAGCCCTCATCTGTCTCCTCCACGTACCACACCTCCCAAACACCTCCCCCTCTTTCCCCCCTGGTGAGCTGCATGGACTCAGAGCCCTCCACTTCAAAGGGCTCTGCCAGCACCGACACTATGACCCCCCTCCCCCCCTCTCTGTGACGACTGGCCAGGTTAGGAGACAGCTGGAGAGACTCCACCAAGGCAAGGCTGAAGGACCTGATGGCATCAGCCCCAGGGTCCTGAAGACTTGCGCCAGCCAGCTGTCTGATGTCCTGCAACACCTCTTCAACCTGAGCCTGAAGCAAGAGGAAGTCACGGTGCTGTGGAAGACGTCGTGCCTGGTTCCTGTACCAAAGAAGACGACACCATCTGGCCTCAATGACTACCGACCAGTTGCCCTCACGTCTCATGTGATGAAGGTGCTGGAGAGGCTGGTCTTGGCCCACCTCCGACTGCGGGTGAAATCCTCACTGGACCCTCTGCAATTTGCGTACCAGCCTCATGTGGGAGTGGATGACGCCATCATCTACCTGCTGCAACGAGCTCAGTCGCACCTGGATGGATCCGGTGGCTCTGTGAGAATCACTTTCTTTGATTTCTCCAGTGCATTCAACACCATCCAACCAGTGCTGCTGAGTGAGAAGCTGCAGGTGGTGGGGGTTAACACGTCCACCGTCTCCTGGATCACTGACTACCTCACAGGCAGATCACAGTTTGTCCAACTGGGCCGTGTGCTGTCTGATGGGGTGGACAGTGATACTGGAGCCCCACAGGGAACTGTTCTGTCTCCCTTCCTGTTCACCTTGTACACCACTGACTTCAGCAAGATGTTGGAGATGTTCTATCGGTCTGTTGTGGCCAGTGCACTGTACTTCTCCGTAGTCTGCTGGGGGAGCAGCATTGGAGCCGGAGACACCAACAGACTTAACAAACTAGTTAAGAAGGCCGGCTCCATCATTGGCTGCAAACAAGACAATCTGGAAGAGGTGGTGGAGAGGAGGACACTGAAGAAACTATTATCCATATTGGATAACCCGGACCACCCTCTCCAACACCTACTGCAGGGACAGCGGAGCACTTTCTCCAACAGACTGATCCAGCTCCGCTGTCACAAGGAAAGATACAGGAGAATATTCCTGCTCTCTGCAATAACACTTGACAATAAATCACCTCTGGCCAGATCATCCTCCACATAACTACACACTGCTTCACTGTTGTTTGCTGGGGTTGATTTTTGCACTACTGTTTTTCACCTAGTTAGTTCATTTAACACTATTCTATTTCATTGTATATACTGTGCATTTTTGTTGTTTTATCTTATATATTCTATATTCTGATATTTAATTTGTCCTACTCTGTTATTCTATTGTATATATTGTGCATTTTTTAATACTTAATATTTTGGTTACTCTGTTACTTTGCTTCTTGGCATGACTTGCTGCTGTAACATACAAATTTCCCCCTGGGGATGAATAAAGTACATATCTATCTATCTATCTATTAATCAAATTATAATTTAAATTATTATCAATATTATTTATATTATTATTAATATGATTTACAGTATAAATATGATTTACATAAGTATTAATATTATTCACATTATAATTTAAATTATTGATATAAATGTTACTTTTAATATCGTAATGACTACAGTGCAGTTCACCCTCCCTCCTGCAGGGGGAAACCTGCTCACCTCAATGCCAGTGACGGGAGCTCTGCGCATGCGCAACGGATGTAAACAAAGCAGCATGGAGCCGTGATGTCCGCAGAGGTCTGACGGGCAGAATTGATCATCAACGATCATTTCATCGATACCTGGTCACGTATCTGATGTTGGCCGCGTGACGAACTTCCGGTTGTTTGTGTGTGATGACGGAGAAACAAAATGGAGTCTGTAAAGAAACGTGTGACTGAGTTTTCACTGGAGGCTCACGGTGAGAGTACTAGTATTACTACTGCTGGTACTACAGTTACTGTACTTCTACACCCATCACTGCTACTGCTACCAGTACTATAACTACTACTTGTAACCGGATAAGTGATTTTAATCAATCAAACTTTATTTCAGAGGGTTCATATAAGAGACATGAATGTAAACACCAGAACACTAAAGTACGGAGGCCTGTGAGGGCCGTACAGAGAGAGACAGACCAACGTCTCCACAGACTGAGCTGTGCTCCAAAAGTATTCAACTAACATTCCAAAAAGTCCAGTTTGAGAAAATCTCCTCGGGCAAAGATCCGAAAGATTACAATAATATCTGACTCGCGCTATTTAGTGCCATATATATATATATATATATATACATATAAATATGTATATATATATATACGTATATATATTCAAAAAGCCTAGTAGTAGTAACAACATCTCTGTTTAGTCAACTGTCAAATCAAATAAAGAAAGTACACATCAATTATATTTTATTATTCTCAGTCTTCACATTTAACTGGATGAATGATAAATAATACATAGAAATACATAAATAAATATTCTTCTCATTTCAAGTACAATAATGTCTGGATTAAAGAATAACTGACATAACAGAAAGCTTTTCAATTCACTTCATTCAGGTGTGAAGTGATGTCAATAAAAAAGCCACGATATATTTTTGTCATCTAAAAAGATAACTCAGTGTTCATGGACTTTATGTGTGGTTATTAACACTTGTTTCAGCTCTATTCTCTCTGTTTACATCCTTGTTGAACAGTGAACTCATGAGTTAGGATTCTGATCATTCGGGCTCTCAGGTTTATTTTCTGTGTCATTTAGATGTGAGAGGATACGTTTGTTCAAAGAGTTGTGCTTTGTCTCGTAGTGTTGCTTCATTTGCCGCTTTTATCAGTAGTTACGGGTTCTGAACATATGAGACATGTTGGTTCTAACTGCCTGTGGGAAGAATTAACATATAAGATTCTGTTCATTCATGCTTAGAAATTATATTCTCTCTGAACACGTTTGTCTTTTTGGAGAATGTCATGTGAGATAACTTCTCTGATCAGCGCAATGTTCCTGCTCTTGTTTCTAGTTCCTCGTCTCTCCCCCGTGTGTCACGGTGTGTGTAAAGGAAACTTGTCAGAATACTCATATTTGAATGGCTGAGCTGCATCACGTGATGTGATTTACAACGCATTGGTCGGTGTTTCCTGCACCGCTGAACAAGTGCGCCTGTTAAAGTATAAACTTATTGTCTAATATGTATATAACCATATTAAATATCGGCTGGAGGTCCTGGGTCCGGATCCGGACCGCGGTCCGCCAGTTGGGGACATCTGGACAATATGTTCATGAAACCAAGAAGTCAGAGTCATTAAGTCGACTAATACTCCACACATAAGACTTCTTAAAACCTTTTGAAAAGTATTGACTCCTGCAGCCCCGAACATCTTACTGTCTCTGATCCATCTCACTGGTAGTACTAGTACTACTACTGACTGGTAGTACTAGTGAGTACTGACTGGTACTACAGGTACTACTAGTACTACTCACTGGTACTACTTCCATACAGAACATAGCTCACAGTGGTGACTCGTTAGATCAATCAGGTTGTTTATTGATTACCTTTCAGATTTGTATCTGAACCAATCAGTGCCTTACCTGGAGGAGTCACCTGACCCTCTGCAGTTCTACCGTGACTGGATTGGTCCAAACAAGCCCTGCATCATCCGCAACGCCTGCAGCCATTGGCCGGCTCTGACCAGGTGGACACCGGAGTACCTGAGGTGAGGAAGGAAGCCCCGCCCACCCCGCGCTGTTCTTCTTCTTCTGTGGTGTCAGGATGTGACAGCTTCCTATTTGATCCACAGGGAGACAGTGGGGTCAAAGGTCGTCAGCGTGGCAGTGACCCCCCACGGTTACGCTGACGCCGTCAACGGCGACCGCTTTGTGATGCCGGAGGAACGACCAATGAGCTTCTCTTCTGTGCTCGACGTCATCGAGGGGAAGGTGAGATTATTATACTATGTTATTATACATTATATAATAGTGTTATTATACATATAGTATTATTATACATTATATAATATTGTTATTATACATTATATAATAGTGTTATTATACATATAGTATTATTATACATTATATAATAGTGTTATTATACATTATATAAAAGTGTTATTATACATTATATAATAGTGTTATTATACATATAGTATTATTATACATTATATAATGTTAATATACATTATATAAAAGTGTTATTATACATTATATAATAGTGTTATTATACATATAGTATTATTATACATTATATAATAGTATTATTATACATTATATAATAGTGTTATTATACATGATATAATAGTGTTATTATACATGATATAATAGTGTTATTATACATGATATAATAGTGTTATTATACATGATATAATAGTGTTATTATACATATAGTATTATTATACATTATATAATAGTGTTATTATACATATATTATTATTATACATTATATAATAGTGTTATTATACATTATATAAAAGCTTTAAAGTGACGTCATCGAGGGGAAGGTGAGACATGATATTGTAGTGTAGTGTAGTATTAGTACTTTTACTTATGTAGAGGATCTGAATAGTGTGTGTGTGGTTGTTGTGTTATGATTGTGTTGTCGTCGTGTCTCCAGCAGCAGCATCGTGGTGGAGTCTTCTATGTTCAGAAACAGTGCTCTAACCTTCTGGAGGAGCTTCCAGAGCTCACAGACGATGTTGAGCCTCATGTTTCCTGGATGAGCGACGCACTGGGTGAGGGGGGGCACTACTGAGCATGCTCCGACCTGTGGGGGGGAGGGCACACTACCGAGCATGCTCCGACCTGTGGGGGGGGGGGG